TGTTGTGCCCCAGGGTGGTGAGACACGTCGAGTAGATTCGGGATCGGTGGGTCGGGGATGCAAAGGCGTAGTGATGTAGTTTGGCAAATAAATTTAATGCACCTTTTTAAACGAACTTCCCGAGTTCTTATTACTTAATACAATTTGACGGTCGCGTAAATTGCTGTCGCAGAACCGGAGGAGCAATAGCCCTGTTTGGCGTTCTTCTCTGGTCCTTTTATAATCTATAATTAGGTCGTAGACGGGGGTGTTTGGACAACTGTAAAGTTGTTACATTTACTGCTGACCTGTCCCCAATATGTTGCGATATATTTTCAAGGCGACGCTTAGCGTAGCACTTGCGCAATCATAATAGTGTTGTAGCGCTGTCGAAGCGGTTTCTTACGAAACGTTTCGGCAACGCTAAGAATAATACTAACGATTATAACAACGATTATAACATTGTCGAGCGCCTGGGGGTCAAGGTCCTCTGTGGCTGGGGGCGCCCATGCCCTCAAACGTCCGAGAACAATTCTGTATGGGCGCCCCACGTATCCTTATCGAGCTCCTCGAGCAACCGCTGCCATGCCTGGGCCTTGGCCCTGACTATGGCTTTGCGCAGATCTCTCCGCGCGACTCGGAGAGACCTGCGCGCCTGCTCCCACGCCAGCCCCCTCCGCCGCGTCGCTCGCATGCGCTGCACGCGTCGACGGAGGAGGATGACGGAGCTGCGTAGCTCCGCCACCTCCTCGCACCACCAATAAACGGTGCGGCGGGGGGTAGGCCGAGCTCGGGGCATGGAGGAGTCACAAGCTGCCTCCATGACCTCCCCGAGCCCGGCCGTCTCCTCTTCGATGTCCTCCCGGGCCAGCAATAGGGGGGGTTCAACTCCCCCCCCCCTGCCCAAGAGGACGCTATCACCGACGCCTTGAATGCGTCTTCGTCCAGGCGGCGGAGTGCCCAGCGCGGAGGTCTCGACTCTGCCCCCTCCCGGCAACGACGGAGCACCTCCGTCGGTGTGGCGACCACGGACATCTCGATCAATATGTGTTCAGAATTGATGTCCGTTTCGGTCGCCACACTCCATCCCTTGACTGCGCGCACCGCAGGGCGATTGCCAAAAGTCAAGTCCACAATGGACTCGCCCTGCGTGCGCACACAGGTGCTCACGGAGCCTGAGTTGATCATGATCAGGCCCCTCGTCGCCGCCCACTCGAGGAGGTCTTAGCCTCGGGGGTCCGTCCGCCGGGAACCCCACTCCCTGGCGTGGGAGTTGAAGTCCCCGGCGACTATCACTGGGTGGGGCGCGCACATGTCTAACACGCACCCCACCTGCTACAGGAACCCCCCGAAACGGACCCTCGACCAAATCCTATAGCGTGGAGGGGCGTATATCGAGACGACCCTTAATGCGCCCCACTCCGCCGCCACAATATATTTCTCCGCCCTAATTAGTTTAGAGCGAGGAGACTCCTCTCCCGGGCGCCAGTAAATCGCAGCGCCGGGGAGCTCGTGCCGGAGCCCCAACCACCTACTGTCCCTGTCAGGGATGTGGTGGGGTTCCGACACTAGCGCCAATCCGCCATTCCGCTCCGCGAGGGCCTGTAGGAGTAGATCCTGAGCCCCCGCGGAGTGATTGACGTTTGCCTGGAGGAGCATGGTGGCCATTTTTAGGCCTTATCCTGTCCCTCCAGGCAAACTTCCACATACTCCGCCGGTGGGGGGCAGCTGCTCTCGCCCACCGGCGGAGGGTCCGCCACTGTTGGCGACTCCTGCATAACTACACCCACTATCTGTGGAGGCGTAGGCCCCTCCAAGACCATCCCCCCTTTACCACTCCCTCCCCTGGGGGCTTCCTCTGCTCCAGGGGGGGGGGGGATTCTTTTTCGGCCAGTGCGGCCGTTTCAGCCGAGGTAACTGGCTGAGACGCTGCGGCCACACCGGCCGCTGAAGGGGGAGCGCTTGTCGGGGTTCGAGTTTTCCCCACCGCACTCTTCCCTCCCTTCCTCTTCTTCTTCTAGGCGGCAGTATAGGCTTCGCCGCTCAGACGGTGGACGATCTTATGGCCGTCCTTTGAGCATACGGGGCAGGCCAGCTGCCCCGTACACTTACTAGCTTTGTGGCCACAGCGGTAGCAGTACCCAAAACGATCCTGGGTGCTGTCACATTAGCTGCGAGTGTGGCCCTCCTCGAGACACCTGAAGCACGTCAGGGATCTCGCCGCCAGCAACTCCACGCGGGCGAGCCCCCAACCAACCCTCAGGCGCCCCGAGGACACCACCTTCTTTACGACGGCCATAGGGGCCGTCACCCGGGTTGTACCGAGTCCCCTAGGGCTCCTAGATATGGGCCCCACCTTTACCATAACGGCCTCACACTCGGCGACGCTCGCCATTGTTGCAGACACCTTCTCCTGGGTGACCGAATCTTCTAGATCGCGGACCCTAAAGTCCGCTTTCTTAACAGATCGGTCGACCCGGACACCCTCCTGATCGGCGAGCGCCGCCTTCATCTTTTCGGCCAGAGTGTTGGCCTTTTGGTCCCCGTCGGGTCCAGGGATCTCCAAAATTAGCGCGCCCGTTACAGCGCGCCTGTTTTTAACGGCAGAGATCCCGAGTTCTTCGAGGGAGACCCTACTTTTTACTGTCCTGAGGGCCTCCGCGTATTTGCCCTCAGGACATATGACTGTAATTGCGGTTGTCTTGCAAGGCCGCAATTTATTGCCCTTGGTGGGCTTTTTGCCCCCAGAGGGGGTCTGACCCGCAGGGTAAGAATTCCCCCGCCTCTTTTTAGCGGCTCCCGAAGGAGCTGGGGGAGGCAGAGGGGCCGGCTTTCGGCCCTTTTTCCTTCCAACCACCGTCGACCACGTCTCCTTTTGCGCCGGAGCGGGACGGTGCGCGAAGCTGAGCTAACCCGGCAAATTGCGGTCCTAGTTAAAATTAGGAAGGAATTACGCAATGGTGTTAAGTTGGCTGATGATCTGGGTGGAGCTACGCCGGGTTCTTCAACGGATGAGTTTCCCCTGTGTGGGGTCCCTCGGAAACTAGCAATTGTTGAAGACGTACAATTTGCTCCTCGTCGGATTGAACGTGCATCTAGAATGCTCGCTAAAGATGGTGCGGTCCAGTCCGAAATGGATTGGGCGACTGATGGAGGTGAGGCTGGCGGATCTCTGGCAGGGCTGCTAAAAGGGTCAAAAGAAAGACTGCTCGTGAGAAGATGCGAGCTAAGGAAGTCTCCCAGCAGACGCCGCGATCTGCTCGGGTTCGGGGGAGCGTGGATACTCCCTCTCAGCCGGAGGTTGGATCGCGAGTCGTTGGCGACAGAGGGGACCTTTTGGCTGGTGGAACGACCGAACAATTTGGCTCGGCCCGTCTTGGACTTCGTATTAGAAAGATCTCTAGAACGGCTGCGGTCAGCATTAGGTGTTTGAATGACGGCCTTTGATATGCGGAAGCGTTCAGGAGAGCTAGAGAGCGAATCCAACTGGAGGGAATCGGCATTGAAAGCACCTGGATTCGCTGGGCCGCCAATGGGTCTGTTCTGGTGGGGGTGGCTGGCCCCGACCGCTCCGAGAAGGCGGATATGCTCGCTGTAAAATTGAGAGAAGTGTTACAGGGCGAAGCAGTCATCACTAGACCTGTTGCTAGGGGTGAATTAAGGATATTGGGCCTTGATGACTTCCTTTACTCCGATGAAGTGGCATGTGTGGTGGCCGAAAAGGGGGAGTGCTTATCCACTCAGATCAAAGTTGGTCCCATTAGAAAGATGGCTGGGCTCCGTTTGGATCCAGTGTCCGCTCTCTGCGGCGGTGAAGATGGCCTTATTGGGCAGGATCCGCATTGGTTGGACGATGGCGCGAACAGAGCTTCTACAAGCAAGACCGATACAATGTTTCTGGTGCTGGAGCTTCGGGCATGTGAGACACGCCTGTAAAGCCGAGGTGGATAGATCCCATATCTGCTTTCGTTGTGGAGGTGAGGGCCATCCTGCCCGTGATTGTGTGGCGAAACACCATTGTATAGTTTGCGAAGCGGAGGGTTAGATATCCATACATCGGATGGGTACTACGGGCTATAGAGCTGCAGCTGCCAGTAGAAGAAGGACAAGATCTATGGCTGGGCCGAGTCGGAGGATTGGCCTTAACCTGACATCAGACTATGGGTCTTAGGTTTGTTCATGTGAATCTGAACAGAAGTTGGCCAGCCTGGTTTATGACGGAAAGTACTACTGCGATCGGTTTTATATCGGAACTCCTGAGAAGGCATCCGGATGCAGCCGACTGGCTGACCAGTGGCAATAGTCTGGCTGCCATCGCCTGGAAGCCCGCTCTGTTATCGCATGGATGTTTGTTGGTCTACAGAGCGCGTAATTTTGTTGCGGCCAAAATTAGGAGGTTAATTATAGTTTCTTGCTATATTTCTCTCAATTCCACCAGGGTCCGATACTTAGAGTTTTTAGATGAACATGGAGGTTTGGTTGGTAACCACAGTGATGACGGAATCAGCATGCTCATTGGAGGGGACTTCAATGCCAGGTCAACATCCTGAGACCCTAGGGCTGCTAACCGTTGAAGTGCCCTGGTAGAGGAATGGGCGGCGGAACGCGATTTACGCCTCGCAAGTCTTGAAAAGACGCCAATTTACATTGGCGCTCACGGGTCTTCCGTAATTGACCTCACTTGGGTATCCTCCAACCTCGTTGATCGTGTTTCCAACTGGATGGTTGTCGTTGAGGCTGAGACTCTATCGGATCACCTTACATCCGATACCATAACGATCTTACGACTGTGCGTAGGGGTTTCTCCTCCAGTGCTGGGATTGACCCTTGTAAACGTTCTAGATGGAATTGGACCAAGATGGATGTACCTGCGCTGATTATGGCTCTGGAGTGACATGGCACAGCGGGTCCCAGTGTAGATGATTCTGCAGCTGCAGAAAGATATGCCGGATGGATGGATCGAGTTATGCGCGATGCGTGCGATATAGCGGCACGTAGAGCGGGAAAGTTCTTACCTAAACAAAATGCTCATTGGTGGACTTCTGAGATTGCGGAACTCCGTCGAGCGTGTATATCTGCGCGTAGACTAATGACTCGGAACAATGGTAGACAGGCCCGCTGCCCTTCGTTATCTGATAGTGGAATTGTGGTGGAGGAGCGGTTGCGGTTGCGACAGGAATATCGTACGGTTTGGGACAGGCTGCGTGGGGCCGTTTGTAAGGCCAAACTTAACTCGTGGCGGGACTTAGTGAGGTCGGTTGCTGACTCTTGGGGGATGCCGTACAGACTGGTCCTGGGTCGTTTGCGAAGATCCCATCTTGCAATCACAAAGACTGTAGAAGATGGGATACTTCGGAATCTCTTGGATTCCCTTTTTCTGGTGAATAGAGAAAGTGAGGTAGTACCTCGTATTGACTGCGTATGGAGAGGGAAGCTTTCGGTGGCTCTGACGGAAACTTATGCAGCCATTCATCGTAAGAAGTGCTCCAATAAGACCTGGCCTCGATAGAATTCGGTCGGTGGCATAAAAGCGTGTCCCGCGCGAGATCCTGGAAAGACTTATTGAGTGTTTCACGCTTTGCCTTCGGGAAGGGATATTTCCCGCTGTCTGGAAATGTGCCGGGTTGGTCTTAATCCCCAAACCAAGTAACCCGGATGCATTACTTCCTAAAGTGCGGCCCATTTGATTGTTAAGCGAAACGGGGAAGATATTCGAAAGAATTATTGTTAACCGTATAAAAGCGTGGATAGAGGGACATGCGAGCGCTGCGTTATTCAATAACTAGTTCGGTTTTCAGGAGGATCGTTCTACGTGTGGCGCCCTTTTGCGGCTCCGGAGAATTGTTTCAGAGATTCTTGCGGAAGGCGATATGGCTATTGCGGTTAACCTGGATGTTTGTAATGCTTCTAACAGCGTTCCGTTTGTGTGGATCAGAGAGGCACTGCGAGCCAAGGGTTTTCCTGATCATTTGCGTAGGATAATCAGCGATTATTTGGTCGACCGTTCGGTGGATTATCCGATTGCCGGTGGTGATGTTGCGCGGCGACCCGTCTTGGCGGGAGTTCCCCAAGGTTCGGTTCTGGGGTTTCGGAATCTTGCGTATGACACTGTTTTTGAAACCGTGTCATATCATCGGTTATGCGGAAGACACGCTTATCGTTGCAACTGCGAGAACGGTCGAATCGGCTCGTGTTCATGCAAGTTTGCAGACGGCGGCGGTTATTGATAGGATTCAGCGATTTTGGTTGCTCGTTGCTGCGGCGAAGACTGAAGCAATTCTTTTCCATGAAGGAAGAAAGCCGCAGGTTTTCCCTGTAATCTGCATCGAGAATAAAATTATCCAAGTGGAATGCACGCTGAAATACTTGGGCATTGTGTTGGATAGCCGGCTCAAATTTTATGACCACTTTCGGTATGCTGCCACCAAAGCTATGAAGGTTGCTAGAGCTCTGGGTTGTCTCATGCCTAACTTGAGAGACCCTGCAGAAATCAAAAGACGTCTGTATGCATCAGTAGTGTCCTCGGTACTTTTATATAGCGCTCCGGTCTGGAACAATGCTCTAATTCCGACGACCACATCGGCTAGGCGGGCGCAGGCGCCTATTCTACGTGTTCAGTGCTTCATAGCGTTGCGAGTGATAGCGGGCTATAGAACTGTGTCCTTGGAGGCTGCGTCTCTTCTAGCGTGCATTCCGCCGCTCTATCTTACGACGATGTATTATCAGCGGATGTATAAGCGTATCAGTGTGCTAAAGGGCTCTGGGGAATGGACACTTGAATCCGAAAGTGAGATTCGCAATAAGGAAAACTCTTTTTGGATGGACAGTGGTGAGGTCATTTGGATCAACCAAATTTAGCGGGTGTGCGTGTCCGTACTGCAATTTTGCCGAACTTTGAAAGGTGGATCGACCATATTAGGAAGCGCGGGATCTGCTTTCATCTTACGCAGATCCTTACAGGACATATTTTCGGGACTATTTGTACCGCATCAATAAGGACCGAACAAGTCAGTGCGTCCATTGCGATGATGGAACGGACTCTGCTCAGCACACTCTCGAAGACTGCGCGTCTTGGTCGACCGAGAGAGTAGAACTTCGGCGAGTGATAGGAGCAGATTTGTCTCTACTTGCTCTGATTAGGGCCATGTTGAATTCGGAGGAAGGGTGGACGGCTGCGATTCGTTTCGCGGAGAGCGTAATGAAGCAGAAGGATGTTGCGGAGAGATTACGGCAAGTTAATGCTGTCCAATGACCCGTACCTCCCTTTAGAGATAACACCCCGCTGTTTGTCTGACTCAAACGCTGCCAGGTGTATAATTCTCTCTGGCTCGCTTGCGTGTTGCGTGCGCGTTGTGTGTATGTATGTGTGCGTATACATGTGTGTGTGTGCGCATGCATGTTTGTGCACGTGGCCGGGTCTGCTCTTGTCGTTGGGCATAGCTAACCAGTTAGTACAGTAGTACGCAGAAGGACGTAGTTGACTGGGGATCCCTACCAACTACGCGTCCTGAAGCGCTTAAGGTTGGGGCAGCGGGGAGAGGTGGTGTCTCTGCTCGCTGCAAATTAGTTTACGTTAGGGGCGCGTATTGCGTCGGACCGGGGGACGTCCCGAAAGATATGCGTTAGCGGTTCTCGAGACATGTCTAAGGTACGGTCTAAGTAAGTCACTCGAGGAGGTTTTAGTCGGTGCGAGTCCGACATAACCTCTGGTCTTTTCCAGAAGACCGAGGTATGCATCAGTCATTTCCTCTACGTTACCAAAGAAAAAAAAAGATGTTTGATATGATCATCCCACTTGAGTGCCGAAGAAAACGCCATTTCCAGGAAACAAACAGAGGACTGAAAAGAAACCTTTAAACCTCTTAGGTAGATCTGATGATTTCTTCTGACATGTCTTTTACTAAAGATACATATGTTAGATTTCTCCGGGGATAACTCCAAACCCAGATAAGAGAGAATTTTACTGGTAACATTTAACTTGTCTTCTAGGATTCTTAGACCTTCATCGACTTCTGGGTGATGTGATAGAAGTGCGACGTCATCAGCGTACTGTAATATATTACAGTTATTATTCTTAATTAATTCTAAATCTGCCACATAAAGCGCGTATAAAATAGGGCTCAAAACGCTCCCCTGAGGAACACCTTTGTAAGCCCAACACATTTCATCAATATCATCGAAGCGACAAAAGACTTGTCTTTCTACGATCGAGTTGAATATAAACATTAAGATATTTAGAGTTATCCCCAGAGTTTTTAATTTACTTAAAAGTATATCGATTTGAACATTATCAAAGGCGGACTTAATATTAAGGAATGCTACTGATAAGATTGAGTTATTCTTGAAAGCTTTCAGAATGTGGGCATACAAAATAGAAAGATTGTCGATACAAGATTTGTTTTTCCTGAATCCAAATTGCGAATGAGCAAATTTATAGTTGTGTTTCAACCACCAATTCAACCTATTGCAAATCATCTTTTCCAAGATTTTGAATACACATGAAGCTAATGAAATGGGTCTGAATTTGCCACCGGTAGACTTAGGGATAAAGAACATTATGTAACTATTCAAATTTTTAATGGACTATTTAATTGTGAAAAGTGTTAGTTGAACATGTCCAGGAGATACTTCTGGCCAGCTACCGGAAGGGCCTTTAAAATAACATAATCAATTCCGTCAAGACCGGGACTAACCCTTGGTCTGGCATTGTTAATAACAAATGTGAGTTCAGATAAAACAAATGGAGAATTAAAAAAAGGATCGAATGTGTAGTCATCTGAGAGTTTAGGAGGGGAGGCTTGGCACGATGGAAAGAGTTCACATATTAAGGATCTGATTTTGTTTTCTCTAGCAGCATTTGAATGGACCTGAGAGCCTACCTTGCAATTTCTATTCTTGAAGCGTTTTATGGTGTTCCATTATTACTTCTGGAATATTAGAGTAGGGTTGGTATCCTTTCTGAGCATATTGCAAAATTCCATAAATCTGTTTTTCTTTTTTCTCTTAAATTCTGTCCTGAAAATAGCTTCCCTTTTCTTGAAATTAATAAAGTCCTCCCTAGAATGAGTAATTCTAAATTTCAATAGAGCAGCTTTTCTAAGTCTGGCCAGCTTAGAACATTCTGCGTCCCATCACGGAAGGGAGGGAAGAGAATAGGAGGAATACAATCCATTATTTTTACCTACATGCTGCGAACGTTTTACAGGAGAGCACTCGGATAATGAGGTTCTGATGAGTTCCAAGAAAGCTAGGTATCGAGAATGACAAGTCGGAAAATTATCCTTATCGAAGATTTCAGACTTGAGATGATCGGAGATAAGTATTCTAAACTTTTTTCCAATCTGTATGTTTCGAATATAACTTGTGATTCATTTTCGGATTTCTAGATAACCTAACCTAACCAGGAAAGGAAAGAGAAATTGGAAAGTGGTCACTACCTTGCAGATCAGCGTCCACAATCCAAGACAAACCTGAACCGGTCTTGCTATCATAAAAGATGAGATCAATGGAAGAAGACTTGAGAAAAGAGGCATCGCAGAAAGTGGGACTGCCATCGTTCGCGATACACAGAAAAGACTTCTCAAGGACTTCCAGAAGGTTACGGCTCGCTAAAGTATTCTTTTCTCCACCCCAACATGATTAATATATATTGAAATCTCCGCTAATAATGACTCTACCATTGAATTGAGCAAAGAATCTGATTCATCTGTCAGATGGATCCCTTCGGGGGCCTATAACAAGATACCAGCATTAGCTCTTCTGATGATAATGAAACTTTTACGGCACACAACTCAATGGAACCTTCACAACCGTATAGATCTTCAACTACTTGATATTTTATGCCTTTTTTCACACAAATGGCCACACTTCCACCCCTCTGGAGGATTCTATCTTTCCTTATCACCGAAAATTCGTTTATGTTGAAAAACATTTCCTCTGATAACCATGTCTCCGCGAGTGAAGGAAGGTCATACTCTCTAGAGAGCTTCAATATTTCCGAGCTTTTGAGAATCACGCATTTACAGTTCCATTGTAAAATTTTTAAACTTGACGAATTTACCCTTTTAGGGGTGAATTTAGAAAAGGATCCTCCCTACTTGCATCTAATACGGTGGATCTAAGTAATTCCGAGGACGATTTAAAAGAGCTATTTACCAAAATTTGATTAAAAATACTAAATTTATCTAACTTAGCTTCGATTTGTTCGAACTTGGATTCGTAGTCCTGTGAAGAAGTAGACGTCTCCGACCGGCCGGCTCCAAGACGTGAAGAATATGTAGGAGGAGTCACTTCGGTATCACCAAAGTCCTACTATCCTCTAGTGATGCAGGTAGTTTAGGAAATTCCTTTAGTGTTTTAAGCGGTTTCTTGTTACAGATAGTGGAAATCCTGTTTAGATTTATCCTACTGGTCTTTTTCCTTGCCTCTGCGAAGGTAACGTTGTCCAAAGCAATGGTTTTGATAATTACTTGTTTTCTAAAGATGGGACAATTCCTGTCTCTCGTGTCGTAAGGACCAGCACAATTGATGCATTTTTTATCAGCTAGACATGGAGTATTCTTGGTTATTATGTGATCATCTGAGCAGGTAAGGCATCTATCTTTGGAAATACAAGTCTTTGAAATGTGATCCATGCGGCCACATTTATAGCAAAGTCTTACCGCAGGGATATATGGGGAGACATAAATCCTGGTTCTCCAGATGTACACGTAATCCGGCAGATCTTATCCTTTGAATTTCACACATATCGTCTGCGAATTGATCCATTGACCGGTGTTTTTGTCCTTTCTTTTTAGCCTGAATGCATTGATTCTCCTGATCTTTTTATTATCCGAGTTAATTATATTGATGACTTCTTCAACCGACACGTCCAGGGGGATTCCTCTAATAATCCCCTTCCTGGAGATCATGTTCTTAGGGACGAAGATCTGAAGGTTCGCTTCCTTAAGAAGTGGATTCTTTAGTGCATTATTAGCTTCGGCTCTAGATGCGAAGATAATTTTCCAGCAATTTTTCCCTTGCGGAGAGCACACCCTATACTTGATATTTAATTTATACAGTTTTCTGGCAAGTTCAAGAGCCGAATATCTCCGAGCAGGTTGATACATCTCGTTACCCTTATATGTTATAAGTGTACAGAATGGAGGCTTACATTGCGAGTCGAATGTTGTAGCAGCGATGACGCCGATGGAGGCGGGGCCGATCGTGAAATTCTCAACAGTCAGATTGAAAACCTCATTTATAATGTTAACGTTAATATTCTTGTCAGCGGAAATGTATTTTTTTGTAGGATTTTTGGCGGAAGGTTGGTCAGCCATCTTGTCCACCATATCCTCCCTCGCCGAATCACTACTGATCTCTTCGTAGTTCCTCTTCTTATTTCTTGATTTCATCATGTCTCGATTCGGACTAAAAACCTTTGTCACCATTCGTTCATCTAGAACTTCAGGTTCGTAGTTTTCATATGATGCACTTGAGAATATAACGGAAGTCCGGGAGGACTCCGGATCTCCCTCCTTTTCACTATGCCTTTCTATTTTCTAAGGCTAATTGAGGCTTGCCTGTTGTTGTGTCCACAGTATACTCTTATAGAAATATCATACTAAGAATCATTGATAATTACTTATTATCCAGTATTTTTAATACTGAAAATAAATAATTATCAGTGATTCTTAGTATAATATTTCTATAAGGATAGGGGAAGCAGGGAAAACAGGGAAAGCTGGCACCGACTCAAGGAGAAAAATACGAAAGAGATAAATGAAGTAAAACTCAGAGCTGACCGCGTACATAACCATTCATACACAAAGCTAGCGGCCTCGTCTCAAACGTATCCATAACGACCAATGTAGCACTAGCACTGCTAGCGCAGTATCCGTAAACTATTATGCACGTCTAAACTACTCTGTTTTATCTACATTTTAGCAATAAGTAATAGCAATTTTTCATGACAAATTGTACTTTTCTAAAACTTTTAAACCTATTTCTGAAGATTGGATGTTATTCTTTAGAACATTTTGTACCGCGAAGATATTTTCTTTTCTTTAAATGCGTCAAAGGAATTTTGTATAACCTACGAATTGTGTTAGCAAACAGTTAATTTAAAAATTTTTTTTCGATTTCGATTAAAAGATTATATCTGCGCAGTGTGTTTCAATGAGTACTTTAAGCGTGCACAAGCGCTTTCCGATCAGTTCAGTAAAAGCGATTATAGTTTTACAGACACTCCGACATCTCCTTCTCTTACAGAAA